CCTGACCCCTCCATTGAAAGGGTCATTGTGCCAAGTCCTTTACTCAGGACATTCACTAGGCCTTTGGATTAAATAGGAACCATCCCAAATCTATCTTGAAGTCTCTCTCCTCTCAATAGCTCCACTTTCATAGTGTTCAAGGCCAGAAAGGGCCAAGAGAACTCACCTCCTGCATGTCACTAACCAGCAAGTCTCATCCAAAGTCCTGCATCAATTCCAGACAGTTACAGTAAAGCATCTTGGGAGATTAACCTGTGTGACACAGGCAGAAAATGACAGAGACTGACATGCCATCACTATTCAAGCCCCCTGCAATGCCAGGAAACTGAGATATACCCCAGCGATCTAGAAAGGGGCCATGCCCCATGCTGCAGACTCAGGATTCTCCCTTCTCCTTAAATATCACTTCACAGGACTGGTGCATCCCCCCAGTGTCCCATATTCAGCTGTGACCAATCTCTGTTGCATCTGAAGAAGCAAACCAAGCCATCAAACACACAACAAAATATAACATACATTCAGGGCATTAGGAAAAAAATCCTTCCTGACCCCCTCAGATTGAAACCCAGAAGCATGAGTGTTGATACCAATTGTTGTCTTAATGCAGAGCTGCCAGCCAGTGTTGTAGGCAAGATGAAGACAATGCTAGAAACAGCCTCATTGCATTGCTTTTCTGCCACCAAAGAGCCTCCTGGCCTAGAGAAAGTCTGGATGTGGAATCTAAACAATCAAGCAGAAATAAAAACAACAGTGCTTCTAGATAGGATTTCTCAGTCCCAGAGAAGCAGCAAATAACTGCATACACAACCCCCTTTATGTCATCCTTAACCCATTTATGTTGACTTCAGTCCCCACCTCCACCTCCCTCTGCCTCAACCATTTCTCTCTCTTTGTGATCCCCTCCGCTCTCTGTTTATGCATGTCCTTCCTCTGGGTTAGGTGAAACCCTATAGCACAGCTATACCAGTGATTCTCAACCAGGGTGCCATGGCACCATAGGGTGCCTTGAGACCCTTTCAAGGATGCTGCAAGGTGCCACACTATGTTAGCACTGTGAGGTGTGCAAAAATGGTTCAGGCAATAAACTCAGATAAATCAAATAGGAATCCACAGTGTTAGAAACATCCTGCCCTGCTGTGGTCTTTCTGAGTTCTTGGCAACAGAAGAATGGCTCTATTATTTTTCCATAGTCAAAACATGAGTGAAAACTAAGAGCCGGCAATTTCTGAGGGGTACCTTGAGTCAAATGAGGTTGAGAACCACTGATCTATATAACCTTTGCACTGCCATCTGGGCATCTGAAAGGAAGGCCACAAACTCAGCTGGGGCTGCCTGCAGCAAGCCTGCTTTCAAGCCAAGACTGGGTTGCCAGGTCCCTACGCTTGACTCTATGAGTTCATCATCGGTATGGCCTCCCCCAGGATCTTAGTTAATGCTGCTCTGGGGTTGCCCAGCAGGTGGCACTGCAAAGCCACAGGTGGTTAACTCCGGGCAGTGGCTGGCCCTGCTCCCTATGTCCTTCTACCACAGCTTCCCTGGGCATCTCCATGAAGTAAAGTGGCGCTGCTCCACACAGACATCAGTGTCCACGGGGCCCAGCTGTGGCCCAAAGCCTCTGCTGAGTGGGAAAGTGACAAGGCCCCTCCCCTCCTCATTGCAACAACAACTGATTCCCTGAGTGGGGGGAAGCAGAGGCTGCTGTCCCCCTGACTGATCTATGCATTGGAAGGGCGAGAGGCTGCTACCTTGAGCTCCATGGCTGGGCTGCCTTTCGAGCAGCACGGTAGTGCAAGCTCCTGGCTGGACACTGGGTCCCCTCTATTTCCCTTTGATGCAGCAGTACCCAGCCCTTGGACAAGGGATTTCCTCTGCTTGACGTGTCCTCTGCAATCCCCCAGCCTCTCCCCTTCTACAGCCCTTGCACTGGGATGGATGGGCACAAATCTGCTGCAGCTGGTTTGGCTTCTATGAGTTGCAGTGGCCATCACCTTGTGGCAGGGGGTGTTAATGGCACTGTTGGAGCCAAAGAGTTGGCAGGGTGAAATGAGACCGGATCCACATTGTGACCCGAAGCTCACACCCACCCCTGATGCTGGAGAATTGGCTGGTTCATAGGCATTTGGGTGTTCAAACAAGGCCTTAAGCCATAGTGGGTCAACGTGAACATCAGAGGGGTAGTTAGGCGTGTTATTCTGCAGTTTGGCAGAAGGCAGGTTACATCTGCACCTTATAAACTAACCAAATCATTGATGTGTAGCATAAGTGTCATAAGCAAAGGGCTCAGTTCATCAGCTGCCATGAATATCATCATCACCATTCCCATGGGGAGGGCACTGGGCTGGAACGGCAGAGACCTAGGTTCTAATCCTTGCTTGGCTGGGTGGCTTGGGAAGGCGCTTTCCCTCTTTCTGTCTCAGTTTCTCCTGCCGTCTGACTCATCTAGTCATACCAGAAGGGCTGAACTCACTGTGTGCCCATGCAACCCTCAGAATATCTAAGCCCTCTTCCAAGCCCATGCAGTTCACTGAACTAGTACGGCATGGCTAAGGCATGATGTTATCTACCGTAAAGGATACTGGTGCTGGCATCGAATTGGGTTGCCGAGGGCTCCCCCAGCCTGCTGGTGGGTGCACCCTGTCTGCTGGGTCAAACGAAGCTCAAAGGTAGCCCTGCGGAGCCTTAGCCACTGCCACTGTCCCCACATCCTCCTTGGCACATTAAGGGTATGACTGTGTTGCATCCCCAGCAGGGCAGAGCAGAGCAGAGCAGAGCAATGCCCACTTGCCCCCTCTCACATTTGTCAAACCTGGGAATGCAACAGTGCAGCCACTCCAGGAACATGTCCCCATGTCTGCTCTCCAGGCTGCTGACTCAAGCAACCCTGGGGAGCGCCAGCAGCGCGCTTGAACTGCTGTATCTCCAGGCTCGGTGCGTGAGAGCAGGAGCGGGTGGGTGGCTGGGTTGGCAGGGCAGCCCTGGGAACACAGTGTAGAAATATCTGCAGTGGCTACTGTACCATCAAAGCAGCGACAAGCTTGTGGCTGGTCTTTATACTTCTCTTCAGCATGTGTAGGGCTATTTCCAGAGTCCTTCTTTTCTCTCTCCCTCCTATTCGGCCTGGAAACCACCAATCGTTACTGTTGTTAGGGATCAGGATTGCTTGCAACCCTAGGGACTTCTGCTTTGTGGAACTGGAGTTTTTTCCCCTCAAAGCCCCAGCTGCTGGAGTCAGGTGACTGCAGGAGACCCCCCGCTCGGCTCTGTGAAGTAGGTTTCTCGTCCTGCTGGAAACGTGACCCTCACACACTCTGAAGGCTCAAAGGCTGGAAAAGAAAGGGAGAGCGGGAACCTCGGCTTTCTTGTAGTCTTCCTGCCTTGGAGACCACGTCAGGCCTCCCTGGAGCTTGGCTGCGAGTTCTGGGTGCTTGAAGTGCCGGCCGGTCAAGCACGAGGAAACCCTGGAGCGGAAAAGCAGAGCAGAGAGGAGACAGGCCCGGGGCTTATGTCACTAGCCCAGGACTGGGGAGAAACCTGCGCCAGCCCTGGCCCTGCCACTGCCACCACCACCACCTGCGCGCACTTCTCAGGAGGATGCCTACAGAGCAGGGCGCCAGGCCCAGGCCGCTGAGGCGAGGGGCATTTCACGACTTTGGTGGGGGAGGCTCCTCGTCCTGAGGGGCTGGCAGTGCGGGCCCGTGCCTCAGTTTCCCCTCCCGCCTACCCATGTGAGCGTGGCGCTGGAGCCAGGCAGGGCCCCTCTCCCCGGGGCGGCGGGGGCGGCCGAGCTGTCGGGGCC